AGTGCTGCACTCCTGGTTCTAAAGTCAGACACTTTAAATAAAGGCAAAAAATGCCATGAGCCTGATTTCGTAGGAAGATTTAATTGCCTCTTGGTCCTCAAAACACTTGAATAGGGATTTTTGCCTGTTTCTGAGTGAGCAGAAGCAGCAGTGCCAGGTGCAAGTTGCTTCCACTTCTGGTGAGATTCCTCCTGGCACCTTTCCCTGGGTGGAACTGTGACTCTGCTTTTTGTCCTGGAAAAAGAGAACACTACCTGATATTCTTGTAAGCCTTAAACTGGCTCCCTCTCAGGTGTTTGAATTTACTGAGTTTCTTCATGCCTTGTACAAATAATGCTGCTTTTTTTTTTTTCTTTAGGGCCCTACATGCTGGGAACTGGTCTCATACTCTACCTCCTTTCCAAGGAAATCTATGTCGTTAACCACGAGACAGTGGCAGCTGCTTGTATATTGTCAGTCATCATTTATGGCGTCAAGAAGTTCGGGCCTGATGTGGCAGCTTTTGCTGACAAACTTAATGAGGTAACAAAAAAACCAGAATCTGACTTTGTAGTAGTTAATAAGGAGTGGTTTTGTTAAAGTATAAACGGCTTCAAACTGGCCGAGGGCAGGGATGGGTGGATATTAGGGAGAAATGTGAGGGTGGGGAGGGCCTGGCACAGGTTGCCCAGAAAAGCTGTGGCTGCCCCATCCCTGGAAGTGTCCAAGGCCAGGTTGGATGGGGCCTGGAGCAACCTGGGATAGAGGAACGTGTCCCTGCCTATGGCAGGGGATGGAATAAGATGAGCTTGAAGGTCCCTTTCAACCCAAACCTTTCTGGGATTCTGTGATTGTGAACCTTAACTCTGCTTTGCCACCTTGGAACCTCAGCCCTGGCACAGGGCAGTTCACACAGACATTTCTCAAATCTTAAAGCACCATTCCAGAAGTTAATTGCAGATTGTTTTCCTCGAGCCTGACTTTCATTCTGAAGGGTGTTTCTTGCTTCTTTTTCCAGGAGAAAGTGGCCAAAGCTTTGGCTGTGAAGAACGAGGCCATCGAGAGTCTCCAGAAGGCCATTGAGGAGGAGAAGAAGGAGCAGTGGCGGGTCGAGGGCCGCTCTTACCTCTTTGATGCAAAGAGGGTACGTGGTGCCAGCTCTGCTGCCATCCCCCCTGCAGCCTGCCCTGCCCAGTCTGGGAGCCTCTTGTACTCCCAACAAGTTACAAACTGTTTGCTGTCTGTGTGTTGCACACAGGGCCACTTCCACCACCTGACCCAGAGACTCAAAAGGAGGGAGAAGGACTTTTTATGTGGCAGATAGTGACAGGACAAAGGGGAATGGCTTCAAAGAGAGGGAAGGGTTAGATTAGAGATTAGGAAGGAATTGTTCACTCAGAGAGTGGGAAGGCCCTGGCACAGGTTGCCCAGAGAAGCTGTGGCTGCCCCATCCCTGGAAGTGTCCAAGACCAGGTTGGACAGGGCTTGGAGCAACCTGGGCCAGTGGAAGGTGTCCCTGCCCATGGCAGGGGGGTAGAAGTGGATGATCTTTAAGGTTCCTTCCAGCCCAAACCATTCTGTGATTCTGTCACTTTTGCTACAGAACATGTTCTGCTGCTGCTTTGTGCTCTTGCCAGACATTAACCTCCTGACTTTATCTGCTTGTGCAGAATAACGTTGCGATGCTGCTGGAAGCCAACTACAGGGAGAGGATGATGATGGTGTACAATGAGGTGAAGAAGAGGCTGGACTACCAAGTGGCCATGCAGACCCTAAAGAGGCAGAAGGAACAGGATTACATGATTCAGTGGGTGGAGAAGAATGTTATTCAGAGCATCACACCCCAACAGGTATTTGCTGTTTTTTGTCTGCTTTACGTTTTAGTCTGTACAAAGATTTGCTACAAGGGATTCTGATTTAAGCCAGGAGATGATGGGTGTCCTTGGGTGACTTCCAAATGTGGCTGCAGCACATTCCTGCTGCTGAGTAAGAGCTAAGGAACCCAGTTCCTGGGTACCAGGTGCTTATGTTGCTGGGATTTAAACTAGGATTGTGTGTAGCATTTGTTGCTGCAGCTCAGAGCTGAGCTGTGATGAGATGTGCAGCTCACAGGGCAGGGGACTCAAAGTTCTCTGTGTAGGACCTTGGCAAATCAAGGTCTGCAGGTGGGCTCTGGGTGTCCTTGCTTTTAAGGAAAGAAACAGAACAAAAAACCAAAAACAAGTTCCCAGCACTGTGTGCTTTTGTTACCCAGAGCAGCTGCCCCATTCCTGGAAGTGTCCAAGGCCAGGTTGGACAGGGCTTGGAGCATCCTGGGCTGGTGGAAGGTGTCCCTGCCCATAGCAGGGGTGGAACCGGATGAGCTTTAAGCTCCCTCTGAACCCAAACCATTCTGGGATTCTGTGATTTCCATTCCCGCTTCAGTGCAGGTCCTTGTTTGGATGTAATCTCTGATTTCGTTACATCCCTTTAAATCTGTAACTCAGGGGTGTGAAAAAGGATTATCTAAAATGCACTGAAAATCTATTTTGCTTGAAATGTCTGCTGACAGCTGCTTTCCCCTCTCTTGCAGCAGAAGGAGAGCATTGCCAAGTGCATCTTGGACCTGAAGGCGCTGTCCAAGGGCGCACACGCAACAGCGTGACCTCGTCTGAGCCCATGACATGTCTCAATACATTACTGGTGGAAACTATGATTCTAAAACATCATTAAACAAACAAAACCCAACCCCTCTGCCGTGTTTCACTACCAACAGTCATTGCCTGGTTGTGTTTGAAGTCGCTGGATGGGTCATACCAACCACTGCTGTTTAGAGTGGGGGATTAGTTGCAGCCACAGCGTGTGTTGGATTCCTTGCGTGGTCATGAACACTTGTAGAGATCACACAACTTCACAGAGACAAATTCTGGTGCTCAAACTGATCTCTGGGTTAGAATTCTCTGTGATAACAACCCACAGATACCTGCTGTCATTGCAAACATGTTCTAAAATCAGTGATTTGTGCTGCCATTGAGCTGCTCCTGAACTTGGAGGGGCTCTGAATGAACGTCCTTGTTCTCAAAATGAGCTGAAAACCCCTTTTTCACAACAAAGCTTTATGTAGTGATGAAAGTGTTTTGGTTCTGGGAAAACAGTGATCTGGCAGGAAATATGTCAAAAGCTACCGGAAAACATGACTTCAGTATTGAGTTTAAAACAGGGAAATGGGTGAGTTTAGAGGGTGGGATTTTTCTGGATTTTCATAGGAGAAAAAAAAAAGCTGTTGATTTTGTTTTTTCCTTGTGCATCGAGAGAAATAATTCCATGTCTGTTATGATAAAACACACAGAATAAACCTCTTCCATTTTCTTTCCGTAGGAAATTTTTCCCTGCAGGATTTTGTTAGAACTCAAATATCCCAGCTGAGCAAAGCACTGACTGTATAAATTAATCCTTTGTGTGCTGGGCAGTGATTTATTTAGTACATGAACTGCAGTGAGCAGAGTGGGGTGTGCCCAGGACCCACTGCTTTATGAATTGCTGCAATTCTCAGTGGGGGAAAAGTGAGTTTTCTCCACTTTTCAAACAGCACAAAAAACATGTTCTTTAGGGGTAAGAACCTGACTTTAAACCAGTCTAAGCTGAACCTGCCTTACTTTTTTTAGCTCAGCAGTTCCAGAGAACGCAGGTGCATAATTTCCTGTCTTGTGATAATTTAAATGAGAAAAGCGAAGTTGCTCAACTTCCACATTTTTGTAACCCCACGTCTCAATGACATTGGAGCTTTGAGCTGGTGTGACAGATTCTTTGCACAGAGCCAAGTGGTTCAACTGGTGTGCTGACACTCTGGGAGTTTTCCACCAGCACCTCCATGGTGGGAGGTAAGATGGAGCTGTATCATTTCTTGTTCCTTTAGTTCTTGCAAACACGAACTGGGAGGTTTGGGGTTGGAAACTGGGAGCTCTTCATGGTTTGACTCCTCTGCAATGTGGGCAACAACGGGGTGCAGTAGGAAAAGTGACAGTAGCAGAGTTTATTGTCATGTGATATTTTCATGTCGTGATATTTTCATATTTTCACATTATTCACAACACACATATTGCAAACCACGTGGTGAGAAATACCAGGGTAGGGATTTTGTAGTAGGCTGTCTTTAAGATTCCCTATCTTTTAGCCCTATCTTCAAGATTCCACCCCCAAATATGGGAAGAAACTTAATGTTCCTGCCTTGTTGGGAAGAGTCAATTTAACTTGAGAAAGGAAAACATCAAGGGGGGAATTTTTCAGAGCTGCTGGTTATGAAAATGTTCACAAAGTGGACTGGGTTTTAGCTCTTGCAAAAATAATCCTGTGGGTGCTTTTTAAGTCTTAAATATCCTCCATTTTTGGGGGGAAGAAGGCAACGTGCCCATCAGGACGTAGTGACCACGTGTGCCAGGAGCAAGACACTGGGAAGCAGGATTGATGCTGAGGAACTGCTGGGTTTGTGTGGCTTTGTGCCAGTTTTATAAGATTCCTAAATAATGGATAAAAACTAAATCAAGTCTTTGAGTTAAAAGAGGGCTACAGGTTTGTTTTGCTTACATACCTATGTATATAAATACAACTTTTTTTCCTCCCCTCCTTTCAGCTTCTCTTCCTGTCCATTAGTGCTTGGAGAGGATGGGAGGCGGTTCCTCACGATCAGCAGGTATTTTAGTTTTTAAGCAGTTTTTTTAGCTGCAGTGTTCTAAATCTAAATCTAAATTGATGTTGTCCTGACCTAAGGGCTGCTGTGGGGGTGTGTGGAAGGACTGCACGGCTGCCAGAGGCTGCCCTGAGACAGTAATGACTTGAACAACTGCATTTTCCTGTCTGGTGGTTCCACTTTCAGCCCCCTGATAGAGAGAAGTCTTATACACAAAATAACACTGCCCTGGGCAGACACGTGCCTGAATGTAGTTCTTGTTGTTTGGAGAAATTTATATGTTTTAAAATCAGTTTTTGATTATTTTTTTATTCTGTTCCAGCTACACCCACTCCTACTACTCCCATTGTCCCCACCACTGTCCATACCATCATCCACACCACTGTCCACACTGAATTAGAAGCTTCACAAGTTAAATGCTGGTTTGAGAGGTAAATGCTCCACCTTTATTTCCTGCCTCCAAACCCTGAGACTGCAGCCTCCTTCTGCAAGGGAGGGGGTTTATGTCATATATTTGATGTCCTGGGGGTTTAAAAAGTTCATTGCAATTTCCTAGTCTGTGCACGAGTGATGCTTAAGGCAAATATGCACCTTTTCATCTCATACTGCTTGGGATAAATGGGCTACACTCTATAAAGTTTGGTGAATTTGAGCACTGCTGATGCTCCAACACCTCTTAAAACTGGGGATTCTGACACGATTTTCTGTGTATGAACAGTCGTGAAATCCTGTACATGTCACTGGCCTTCATCTCTGGCATCCTCCTGACTGTCCTGGTTTTTGCCATCATCTACCTCTCCAGGAAAAGTAAGTAGCACAGTCGAGGGAGTAACAGCAGAGTGGTGATAACTACAGAAGTTACTTTGAAATTTCAAAATTGTGTCTGCCTCGAGTAACTCCTGCATTGATGAACAGGTCATCCCTGCCAATGACTCCTCAGGGGCTGTTTTCATGGGAGAATTAACTTGACCACTGAAGTTTTTGTTGGTTGTGGGTTTTTCTCATCCCAACCCTGGCCACACTAAATTCTCAGCCCCTTTCATCCTGGCCACTTCCAACAGGTGGGCAGGGACTTGGCAGCCCAAAATGCCCACTTTGCAGGGCAGGTCTGTGACAGATTTTACAGGTTATGTGTCTGTCACCCATCACTGAGCCTCCCCAAACCCAGTGCAGACAGCTGAGGCTGATATCCCTCTCCTTCCTAGATTGCAAGAAATCCCACCAAAATTTACAAGAGGAAGTTTGCTTCCAGGCAGCACCTGAGGAACGTGCCAGGAACACCCAGGTAAAGGTCACAACTGTTATTTCTAACCTTTAATGCAGAGACTTCACGTTCTTGACAGGGTGGTGAATATTAATTTGGGGGTGGGAGGGAGAAAAGTCACTTGCTTGAGAGACTTGAGTGTTAGTCAGGAGTTCTTTTGACTAAGGAAAAGGGCTTTCTTTGGGCATCCAAGACTTCAGACTGTGTTTATAGAAGTATAGGGATGTGCTGAGGAGGACCCTGGACAGTAGGAGGAAAAATACAGAGCTGAAACACCATATTATACTCCCCATGTATTTCAAGGGTTTAACTAAACCTCTGATTAGGCAGTTTAGGAGCAATCTTTTTAAAAGGCAAGGATTTCTGCAGTTTGCCTTTGTGATAATAATTCTTTGGTAGCCCCTAAACTTGAGACTTGACCCAGGATCCTGAGCCTGACTAACCACTGGCATAAACCAGCATAGTGTATATTAATTTCCCACATGTAAGGACAGACTGTTTATGGTTTGTGGTGTTGAGGACAAACTAAAAGTGGTAAATTCCTGCTGACAGGCAGTGCTTAAACACTGTAATGTTTGTGGCTTCTTTCCCATCCTCAGAACGAGGTTACCTACAGCACTCTGGTCTTCCAGCGGAGTCAGACACCACTGGCTGTGTGATGATGAAGTTCCAAGAGAAATAAAAGTGTTTTTCCACTTTCTGAACATCAAAAGCCACCAGAACGTTACACCAAGGCCTGCAGTGCCCTGAGGGTGCCAGCACTGCCATCTGTAACATCAGCTCTTTTTATAGTTACAAGGGGAAATTCAGGTCTCCCGTTCCAAACCGATTGCCAAAGGATGTGGGCAAATTGAAGGTGGTTTGGTTTTTTTTTTTAATACAGTATTTCCTCATCTGGAGAAATCTCCCTGCACTTGTAAAGTTTCCGTTTCTAAGCTACCAAAGAGAACTGAGAAATGGAAATGTTTCTCTGCATCTATCCAGATCTGGGGCCCTTGTGTTTCCCTTTTCTGTCACCAGCCATGGCACTTGGCATATTTTTTTGGTTGCCAAGTGCTCTGATTAGTTATTTTCTGTTATTGAAGTGATGATAATGAAATGTTTGTGTGCAAATGCTGCTTCCTGATCAGGTCCCGTAAAAGCGATGCACGATCACAGTGTGACAGCCAAAATCTCTCATTCACATATTATTACCCACAATGTTCTAAACACGTTGTAAAGAGGGAAAAATCATCCCTTTGTCGTCAGCTGGGGGATAAGTTACCACGAGTGGCTCTGTCTGAGCAGCCACAGAGAAGCTTCTCTGCATGTTTCCCACGGATGGGAGGTTTGTTGTCCCGGGGAGTTCGGGGATCTCCAACTGCTCAAGGCTGAATGGGAGGGATGTTTCCTGCTGGCTCAGCCCTCGGGGCCTCAGAAACCTTTGTGGTTACCAGAGAGTGCCAGAATCTTGCAGGTACTTCTGTTTTCTGAAAACGCTGATATTTGCATGCGCGCTGTTCAAACACCCCTCTAGAGGGATCTCCGGGGCAGGACAAGCGTCCTACAAACTCCCGTGCGCTGCGGCCGAAACATCTGAGAGGCTTCAGAGGAGCGATGCTGGATGTGCCACCTGATGGCAGCACCAAGCCGTGCCTGGGCTGGGTTTAATTCCACTTAAACGCGGGGCTCTGGTGCCTTTCCAGCCCCGGTCAGCAGAGCAGGGGCTCCACCTCTGCCACCCTCGGTGGGTTGTCCTGTCTCCTCCTCCCGGCAGCCGCTGGAGATTTTTCACGTGAAAAAGTGTGGCTAAACACTTTTATGTTCTGAAACTTGGTGTGTGGTGGTGTGGGTCAGGCCACAGACTGTTCCACGGTACAGCCCGTGGTCTGTGCTTTGCTGTTATCTCATCTCAGTCATGGCAGTTTCTTCAAGTTCTATTTAATAGAGAAAAATACCATATTACTCCTTAGTATTTTTAACTGTGAAGAGATTCATAAGGGATGAGTGTGGTTTGTGCACAGTGTTTTTTAATTTAGTTCAATTTTTGTTTAAAATTAATAACAGTGTTACTCTGCTGCCTGTCAGAGAAATAAGGTCTGAAGATTTACCTGGCTTGAACAAAGGTGACTTTTCCACACCAGTAAGTTAGAAAAACAAGGAAAGGTGGCTCACCACAGGCTTCCCCCAGCTCAGGGATGTTGTGTTTTCATGCAGGTGTTTCCTCACTGAGACTCAGCACAACCATTTCATGTCCACTGTGAAACGCTGCCAACCCCAGCACAGCCCTTGTGTGTGTGTACCTGGGGGGCTGAGAGTGGCACAGCCCTTGGAAGGTGGCACAGAATCTCTTTGTTGTGTGGCTGCTGCTCAGCCCCAAACTCATCCCAGAGCATCCCTCTGTCTCTCCCTTTCCCGTGCCAAGAGCTCTGTAGGGTCATACACAGCTTTTAATGGCAGGCACCAGCAAACACTTAAATAAAATTGCTGTAGCTCCAGGGATTTGTGACAAATGCATCTGCTAATCAGAACAGAGGATTCTGTGTCCTCTGTTTCTGGCTCTCCCATTCTCACTATTTCAGGAGGTTTCTGCTCAAAGTGTTTGCACTTTTCTCTCCCTCAGGCCAAGCTTTCACAGCAGGAATGTGTCTGAGTGTGTCTGTGTCCCATATAAATTGTCCAGCTCTAGGAGGGTGAGTGGAAACAGCTCCTGGGTTAAATGGTGCTGTGAAGGATGCAGGGACAGCAGTGCCTGTGATATTCCCTGGCATTTTGGAGTTGACATCTGGTTGCAACGTTAGAAGGGAGAGCAGGGCCACGGAGCTTGTTCTCAGAAGGCAGGATGACTTCCCCTGCTCTCAGTCCCCTCTCTGTTCTTCCTCCCGATCCTTGTACCTTGTTCCCTTGGAGTTTGTCAGGCAGCCTGCCAGGAGTCTGGTGCAGTGTTGCTCCCTCTTCCCTCAGTTCACCAGAAACACATCAGCAAAGTCCCCCGTGCATCGTTCTCACGAATAATTTCCTGCTCGTGAGGTGGGACCTGGTTTTCTGCTGAAAGCAATCGCTTCCATCACTGATCATTGGAGATCATGAACCAAACTGTGATGTGCTGGTGCAGTGCCTTCCTTTGGCTTGTTTATCTCTCGAGTTGAACTGTGTAACGAGGCAGAGCTTTGGCCTGGGACAAGGGTTGCATCAGATAAGAAATGAGATGTCTGGTCTCAGCTAAAGGAGCAGATGCCAATGCTCTCTAAGTAACATCCACTCCCTTTTCTGCTTTATCTGGACCACATTTATTATTTAAAGATGGACAAGAAAGTAGCCTGGCCTTTAATGACCTGTTTCCAGTTTGACCCATGTTCCTTAAAAGGGGGCTGTGTCAGCTGTGGTGTAATAATTAGTGCCATTTTTGTGCCATCCTAGGCAACTAAAACTGCAGGCTGGTTTTTTTGATTGTCAGGGCAGGATTCAGCAGGCTGAATCAACGTAAAATCCATCTAATAGTTCTTATTATTCATGACAATGTAACAACCCTGGCTGCAGCACAAGTTGACCAGACTCAAGTTTAGTCTAAATGGACAGAGAAGACAAAGGGTGTGAGAACAGTCAGTGAGGTTGTGAGCTGCTGGGTTACAAACAGCAAGGAACACATTTAGCCCATTTTTCAGTCAACTCTTCCAACCCTTATGTTAAAAAAAAAAAAACCAAACCAAAATCCTTGACACTAGACAGTATTTCCTTCTGTATTTTGAACTGATATAATACAAAGACATATATTCACATACAGCTTTAGGGGAACCTTCAGATCTACATGTTGCTTCAGTTTCCCATGAGTTCCTTAGCAAAGCCACTTGTCTGGTCTATACAGTCTTAATTTATGGTGGTGGGTCTGTTGATTGCTCTGTAAGAGCTGGGTCTGGTTTTTTGCACAGGATATAGGTCCTTAAAATTAAAAGGTACGTGCTTTTGAACTTCTTTATCTTGCAGGCGTAGACAATGGGGTTCATGGCAGAATTGGCATGGGATAACACGATTCCCAAGTACATCCAAAACCGGGGGATCTGAGTCTCAGGGTAAAAATAGGAAATGCAGTTTATAATGCACAGAGGCAACCAGGATATTGCAAACAGGAAGAGAACGAGCGCAAGAGACTTGGCCATCTTGAACTCCTGCCCATAAAAAGCTCCAGCCCCTCTCACACTGGCTGTGCCTTGACTCAGCTTTGTCCTGATGATGTGGAAGATTTCAGCATACAGAGCACACATGATGAGCAGGGGGACAAGGATCCACGTGATGAAGCCAAAATACACCATGTAATCCGTGCTCATCACGGACATGAATTGGCACTGGAGGAAGTTGGAGTCTCTTGACTTGTTCCAGCCAAACATGGGGACAAGTGCAACCAGCAGGGACAGAGACCAGCACAGCCCCAGTGCCCACCAAACTCTTCTCTCTGTAGTGATTCTTTTGTACCTGTGGGGGAAGAAAACCCAGGCTGTGTTAAACAGGAGTGTTTAAAACAGTAAAGGATGGTTTCAAGCACTCACACATTCAGATACTAAAGGTTCGTTATCAGAAAATGGAGCATTAGTTTTTTGAGATTTTATTTTTAGGGGGGGAACTAAATCTTATCTTGAGACAAGACCCAACCCTACATTTGTAACAGTTATGTTGCAGCATCAGTAAGAATTGTGTTTAACTTCCCCTGTTTATAACTGGATGTTTTCATCCATATTATTTTTTGTTTCACTACAATCTTAGTGCTTCTCTTGCCAAGATACTGCTTTGCTGCTATTAGCAATTCTATCTTATTTCTCACCTTCTTTGGGTGTACCTTCGTCTTTATCTTTTTTTATGCCACTTGAAGGACTAAAATGTTCTTTTGATTTTCAATTTCATAGGCCCTTTCCCATGAAATGATGATTTCTTTGATGCTTGAGGTTATGCTTTGCATTTTTAGTTTATGTGCTTTTCCACTCAAATATAAACAGCGAGTGACTTAAGTTAACCCTTAGTATGTTTGTTACTACTTCTGTGTTTTCAGCAAACACTAAGTGGAATTTTATTTAAAAGAGCTGCCTCAGAAACCCTAATAACAACTATTAGATGGATTTTACATTGATTCAGTGCCATTTTTGTGCCATCCTAGGCAACTAAAACTCTGCAGGCTGGTTTTTTTGATTGTCAGGGCAGGATTCAGCAGGCTGAATCAATGTAAAATCCATCTAATAGTTCTTATTATTCATGACAATGTGACAACCCTGGCTGCAGCCAGATTCAAGTTTAGTCTAAATGGACAGAGAAGACAAAGGGTGTGAGAACAGTCAGTGAGGTTGTGAGCTGCTGGGTTACAAACAGCAAGGAACACATTTAGCCTGTTTTTCAGTCAACTCTTCCAACCCTTATGTTAAAAAAACCCAAGGATTTGCATTGAATCCTCCCATGACAATCAAAACAAACCAGACTGCAGAGTTTTAGTTGCCTAGGATGGCACAAAAATGAAGATAATTATTACACCACAGCTGACACAGCCCCCTTTTAAGGAACATTAAAGGCCAGGCTACTTTCTTGCCCATCTTTAAATAATAAAAGCAGTCCAGATAAAGCAGAAAAGGGAGTTCATCATCCTGTTACTCATCTCAGAGAGCGTGGAGGTGCAGCACTCACCTGGTCTGCAGCTTCACTCGCAGGTACCTGTCGATGGCGATGGCCAGGAGGGAGAGGATGGAGGCATTGGTGAAAACCACCATGAGGCAGCACATGAAGAGGCAGGTGTAGAAGTGCACAGTGATGCCCAGGCTCACCACGATGGCCAGGGG